TTCAGCATCTACTTAAAACTGCTTATTTTGTAGAAGGGATTATAATATACCAAACACTGTTTAAAAGTGGTGTTTTCAGATTTTTCCAGGAATGTATTCATCTCCCAGAACACAGGAGTGGGTGGGGGAAATGATTGTGGAGAGTGTTTCTCCATTTTAATTTTTTATTAGATCATTTACAAGAATATTCACACTCATTGATTTCAGCCTTAATTAAACAAAAGCTTGATTTATTAAAAATGAGATTTTCTAGCCATGTCAAATGGAATCTGCTCAAATCCACTGAGTGCCCTTCAATAATTTCCTAAAGAATGACCATTTCTTCCTTTTTACACTTTTCTCAGTCAGTAAATAGCTCATTCATCAAACTTAAGAGGATGCCCAAACAGAGTTTCTTTGGAAAAGCTGGAGGTTTTTTTGGTTGGTTTTGTTTTTTGTTTTTACTAAGCCAGGGAACTGATGCAGTTTCTAGCCAGTTGGATTACAGCAAGAAGCCCGGCTACCTGGTACCGATCTTCATCACAAGAAATGAACTCATCTACATGAATCATTTGATGTAAAATAAATAAACTCCTTTAAGCAGAACATCACCAGAGGATCAGAATGTCCTGCTTTGGGAAGGAAGAAATGAGCATAATGTAGCTTTACTTAACAACAGGAAACCCTTGTTGCTGCCAGTGGTATCTTTCAACTAATGTTTTCTTTTAGGATGAAACATAAATCCAAATGTTATCGAAACCATTTACAAATAATATCAAACAAGCTCTCTGACTAGAGACAGTGATCATTAAATTTTGGAAGCCCCCAAATTTGCTCCCTTTCAACAAGGCCATATGTTAGTTATGTGAATTATTTCATAATACACCCTAATCAAAGGATGCATGAAGTAAGATATAACAATGATATTTCACAATTCTTGAGCACTTACTATGAGCCAGGCACTGTGCTAGGGCACGTATATACAGTATCTTGTGTAATTCTTACAACAGTGGTTTACTAGTGGGGTTTCTCCCCAGATCACAGATGAAGAAACTGAAATTGATTGTAATCAAAAAATGATACGGTGCATATGAGCACCGTCATTGATTTGCTATTGTAGAGGAGGAAAAAAAGTATCTTTTCTTCTTCCTCTTCTAAACTGTCAGCTGGGGCCCCTATAACAAAGGATAGTTTAACAGGAGAAGAGCATACACATTTTTAAATGGGAGTTTTACATGACATGGGAGCCTTCAGAAGAAAATGAAGATTTGAGGAACAATTAAACTTGACTGTTTTTATGCGTACTGGATTTGATGAAAAGTGGAGAGTCATCGAAAAATGTGATAGGACAAAAGGGGTGTGAGCTAAGGGTGGTAAACTGGGGGACACTCAGCAAGGCTTGTTCATTCAGATGTCCCTCAGCATCCCTCCTTCCTTGGAGATAAAGATGCTCCCTTCCTAAGGGTACAGGAAGGGCACCTCTCACATGAGGATCTGTGTCCTGACTCGGGAAGTTCAGAAGGTCCTTCCTGCATCTGCTGTTTCTCATATTCTTTCAGCGTAAACTATTCTATATGCCAAGGTGCCATATTTTTAGCTGGCGTGTCTTTAACTTCATCAGTAATTGTGTTGGATTGGAGTGGGGGGAAATGTGAAGTAGTACCTACAAATAAGAAAATATGAAAGGAGACTGGAGACAGAAGAAGATTATAGTAATAATAGACGACTGTGTATCAGACCCTGAGCTTCACTCAGTTGCCTCATTTCCTCCTCACAGCTGCCCAATAAAGTAGATATTTTTATTACCCCTATTTCTACAGATGGAGAAATTGAGGCTTAGAGCTTCTGACTGACTTCCCAAGGCCACCCAGATGGGTAACAAGTGGCCCTGTAGTTAGAAACCCGGTTCTGTCTGACTCCAGGGCTCTCGTTCTTAACCACCATACACTGCCCGGAAAGGCTTGGGATCCCTTCTGGATACATCAAAGCTCATGGTGAGGATAGACGGTGGCGTAGAGAGCGGTTTAACCAGGTGACAGACGGGAAAGAAGACAGACATGGAAGCCTGGAGAAGGGAAGGTGGAGAAAGTCAAGTCTGCATAAACACCCTGATGGGTTTAGACATCCCAAGGGCGAGCCGAGGCGAGGGCCGGGGAAGGTGCTCGTGAGACGGAGCTGGGACTTCACGGGGAGCTGCTGCGACTTCTCTCCATCCCCCTCTGGTGAGGCGGGAAGTGTCTCCTCAGGCCGGGAAAGGCATTCTGTGTTCTCAGACTGCAGCCTTGATCAGGCAAAGTGCCACATCTAACCATTTATTTTGGAGTTTGGGGATGGCTGGAACACTGGCTTGGCTCTCTTCCTCCATTTGAGTAGCTGCCGAAGGGATTAAGTGGCCTCAGTCTGACTGCAAAAAAAAAAAAAAACAAACAGAGAGAGAGAGAGAGATAAAAGGAAAGCTGCACATATCTGAATGCTGCGTTAATGTCCTGGCTGTGTAAAACAGTTGTATTAATCTTGCTTATTGGCCTTCTGATTCCAATAGTCATATTAAGGGCCTCATTTCTAACATTCCGTCCTTAAGGAGAACAGATAGGAATGAAGGATGAAGGGAAAAGAGAGATCTCGGGATCCCTAAAGAAAGAGCTTTGCTCAGCAATACAAACTTATGGTGATGCCAGAGTTCTCCCTCCTTAAGCCCTTCCTGCTTGCCTTGTACTGTACCCAGACCAAGCCTCCAGCCCCACCCCACCCCTTCCTCTAAATGAGTGTTTCCCCCATCCTGCTGTTCAGTTCCATCATTATCCTAGAAGGGGAAGGTAAGTTTAGGTTTTAGAATCTTGAGTGAGCCAGAAAGAAACTACATACACACTTAAAAAAAACACCTTACCACATCCCTGCCCACCTCTCCCCACTCTCATTTGTGCTCTCAAGGTCGGACTAATACTTTTGGACTAAAGACTTATTAAAAAACCATTAAAAAAAAAACAAGTAGATCGTGACTCACATACAAATATAAAGTTAACCTGTTTCAAAGGTTTTATTCAACTCATTAATTAATGATAGAATCAGTCAGATGTTACAATGGGTTAAAAGGAGAATCCATAGTATCACACATACATAGACCATCAGAAGTGTCTAAATGATTTATAGGGCGTGGGGTAGGGGTATAGCTCAATGGTAAAGTGTGTACTGGGTTCAGTACCTCCATTAAAAAACAAACAAAAAAGAAATGATTTATAAACAGTTGCAAAACTGGTCAATATTTACAGGGCAATAATTAATTACATTCTACTAGCCACAATTCATTTATATTTCTCAAGACAAGACTGTTTGCATTATTATAAGTTGTCTACAACTTGCACAATTGTAAAACACACAAAGACAGTGACAGGCAGAGAGAACCTGAAATAAATCATATTTTTCAGGATACCCACATATCATAAATCATGTCTTACAGTGTAGCTGTGTAGTAAGACCACTGTACTGAGTGTCCTTCCAGTGTTCCACTTCAACGTGTCAAGAAGTTGAGGAGTCTGGTCCTTTCTAAGCAGTATTGTAAGACGTCACCTTGAAAACACTTCAGATAATTGGCTGGTCTGTTAGCTACAAGGATCCTTTTCATTATTCAATGCAAAATAACTAATTACAAATTTAAACAAATTATTTTGAATAAAAAGTTGCTTAAGGAGCAAGCAGCTTTCTAGATTTGAAAATGAGGAGGTGGGGGCTGGGCAGGAGGATGAAGATGAAAAATTGAAGGTTCTTGGTGGTACTGAGCTTGACTTCCTCTGACTCTGAGTTGGAAGTAGAAATAGTAAGGATGGTGAAGTAGGATATAAAGGGTCACCTGAAACAACAGCAGAGTGTGCCTCAGGGGACACTTGCCGGTCAGGACCCTGGTGAGCCTCCAGCACCATCAGCAAGCCCTGGGTGGTTTGCCAGGAGGTCATGATCATGGCCAGACTGTTTTGTGGCTAACACTTCCACCCAGGCCCATGTGGGCAAACATAACTGATGCCGCGGCTGCTGTGCCCTATTTCCACATCTGTTTAGGTTCCTCTTGGTTCTTGCTCCAGTCCCAGTTTCTGCATCCTGACTCCTGGCTGCCCTGTCTCCTGCAGCGTTATTATTTCCAGCCTCCTTGAGTGAGTATTAACATTTTACTAGTAAACAGGCTGTCTTCTCTGATGTATGGCTTCAGCTAGCCTCCTGACTTCATTCCTCCACACATGGTGGAGCGTCAGTTCTACTGGCTTCAAGTCAGCTTGATCTTACCCTCCTAAGGTGGGTCCTCCCCTCCTAAGCCCTTAGCTGTGGTTGCACCTCTTCCCTCAAGGTCACTCTGCACCTGAGCCCCCTAACGGGCTTGCACTCAAAAGGCTCTCAGCTGCTTCATCTGGGAACCCAGAAATACGACCTCAAATTACTTCCTGGCTCAGCTTCACTCAGATTAACTACTTTGGTGCTGAAATAATTCCAGAATTCTAATTCTCCCAACCTGCAACGAGAAAGAGAAAGTAAGCAAAAAAAGAAAAAAAAAAAAAAAGAAAGAAAAGAAAACCAAATTTAATTTTGGCCATAATGGTAGGGCTTGGTGTTCAGTAGGTAAAATTATTTTTCTTTTTCGATTTTTTTAGACTTTTTTTATTGAGTTATAGTCATTTTACAATGTTGTGTCAATTCCCAGTGTAGAGCACAATTTTTCAGTTATACATGAACATACATATATTCATTGTCACTTTTTTTTCTAAAATTATTAATCTGTATCAAGATCACTTTTACTTTTGAACTTCCTTGCTTGTTCCTTCAGCAGGTATTTACTGAGCATATTCCATAATCTAGCAACTAAAGATATAGTAGAGAATTTTAAAAAGGCAAAGTTCTGGTACTCAGAGTTTACGCTGTATACCTAAGAGGCTTTCTTAGAATGAAGAGGTAAATAATTAATTATTTAAAGAGTTCTGCTTTATAGGGGGGAAACTTTAAGAGTCTAATTGGTATTCTAATCTGTGTTCTCTCAGTTAATCACAGATAGATTAACCAGAAAACTCAGGGCAGCAATTGAAATAAAGGCATAATCTCCAAAAGTTATAGTCTTACAAGCCTTAAAGAGGTAAGCGATATCAAACATCCTGGCCTATATTTTTTCCCAACTTTTTATTATGAAAAATTTTAAACATTCAGAGAAGTTGAAAGAATAACAGAGAACAACCATGTACCTATAACCTACAGTTGTTAACATTTTGCTATATTTGGTTGATGTATAATTATTTATATATGAATGTGTATTTTTAAAATTTATCTGAAAATAATTTCAAGCTTACAGAAAGGTTGCAAGAAAAATACAAAGAATCCTCTCATATCCCCTTTACCTAGATTCACCAATTGTTAAGCTTTTGCCCCTTTTGCTTTTATATTCTCTCTATGTATGTGTGTAGGTAATTTTTATGAACCATTTGAGAGGAAGCAGTGTACATCATGTCCCAGATACCCTATATTTTTCAGTGTCTCTTTCCTACAAATACAGACATTCTACCTAACTACTGTGTACTTCTCAGTGACAGAGAATTTAAAATTGATGCAATACTTTTTAAAATCTAATCTATGATCCATATTCCATTTTTGTCAGTTGATCCAGTAATGTTCTTTTTAGCCTTTTGTTTTTCTCCAGTGTAAGATGCAGTCCTGCATCACGTATCACATTTAGCTGTCATGTCTCTTGAGTTTCTTTTAATCTAGAACATTTCCACAGTCTTTCTTTGTCTTTGACAACATTGGCATTTTTTAAGAAAACGGAACTTAAAAAAAAATTCATCATTTGGAGATTGTCTGATACTCATCTTCTGTTTCAGATTCAGTTTTCCTAGAAGAAGACTTTGACACAGAGTTTAATGATCAGCTGTTTACTAAGTCAGGCCCGTAGGATCAATACCTATGTGTGGGATGGGGGGAGGGGGAACAGCACAACTGGGCAGAGGGAGAAATTGAGCTGCAAGCTAGGATGCACAGCCATAGCTGACTCTAGGTGGACCTCTGAAGCTAAAATGGACCCATTAGAATTATTCCCCCATTGGGCCAAAATGGACAGGCCTTTCTGTTTCCACCTCAATCATCATTGGAGGTTGGCTACCCTAGAAGGACTGACCTTGGGCAATGGGCTCTATATAATAGCAGCAGTGTCTGAAATGCGCTTAATTGGAGCCTGTCTCTTGACAGCTCTCCCAGGAATTAGGGCAACAGGTTTGTCATTGAAGGGTGATCTGGACAATGCATTCCCATTCACATTTCATGATTAAAATCAGATCATGCATTCCAGCTGGACAACTGCCATGTGTATATATTTTTCTGAATCTTTTGAAAGTTAAGTGATAGACTTCAGCCCTAAAAACTTCAGTACACACCCACAAAAAAGAATATTCTCCTACAAAGCAACATCATTAACAGGCCTAAGAAAATGAAAAAAATCTTAATGATATCCAATCCATATTCAAATTACCCCTATTATCCTTAAAATATCTTTTATATCTTTTTAAAATCAGTATCTAATCAATGGTCACACTAAAATCCTTTTTTTCTTTTTTTTTTTTTTTCCGGTCTTTTAATCTGGAAAAATCCTCTTATTTGTTTTCTCATGACAAAAACTTTCTAAGGAGACGACATCTGATGTCTTGAAGAAACCTCCTATTGTTCAGAGTGTTTTTGGGTTTTTTTTTTGCAAATTTCTAAGTCATAAGACAATTACAAGAACTGAGGAAAATACCATTTGCTTTTTCTTAGGTGATTTTAAGTATTAATACAGATAAAATAATTTTTAAAGATGTGGACTATCTTTGTTAGAATAACAATTGAAGGCCTGTTTTTACATCCATTATTAATTAAGAAGAGTCAAAGAGAAGAAAAAAGATAATTTTTGTACCATTTTTATTATGTATTTATAAAATTGAGTTAACCCAGTGTTTGTGCATTTGTGTGTGTGTGTGTGTGTGTGTGAAAATATAGCCTGATTCTATTCCACTTTCACATCGTCTTCTCTAACAAAGCATGAAGCAAAATAAAAAGCTGCTTGTTTTTTTTTTTGTAATTTGCTAGTGAGAACAAGAAATGTAAGAATTATATTGTCTTCTTCCATCATATCATGTTGTATCGTAATCATATTATATTATATTGTTACTAAATCTTCTTTAGTCCTTTAAATGTAGCACTTGCATTATAAGCAGTGCTAATCCTCTTAAAATATTATAACTCCTTCATTATAACAAATTAAGAAAGACATGGGACACAAGAATCTTTGCAGATTATTTCCAAACAAGCTTCTTTACTTAATGTCCTTCAGTTGAGCTAGTTATGAATTTTTCTGATGGAAAAGAAGTATGCTTCTACCAGTTTCATTTATCAAAATTCTTTAAAAATTTGCCAGCGGTCACCACCTTGACAGCTGACAAAAATATCTTCCTGTCTCCTCACTCCTTTCTTCTTTTTTTTTAATTGTCTTTTTTATTTTAATTTTTTTGTTGTTGTGGGGGAGGTAAGTAGGTATGTGTATTTATCTGTTTTTAATGGAGATACTGGGGATTGAACCCAGGACCTTAAATAAGCTAGGCATGCGCTCTACCACTGTACCCTCCCCACTCTTTTTTTTTTAATGGAAAGAATGTACTCTTAAAACTGTATTATAGGACCTATTTTTATCCAAACTAAGATCTATCCCGTAAAAATTAAAGGAAGTGGGAAGTCTTTAATATAAAAGATTATACAATTTTATGTGTGATAAATATAAAACTAGTTAATGTTATGAATAGTATATAAGATATAATGGAGAACGGGTCAATTTTGCCTATTTTGAGCCAGATTTTGATTTGGTACCACTTCTTGAGTACTCATTATGTTTAAGTCCCTGTGTTGGATCCTTTGATGAGTCACAAATTTAATTGATTAATTGATTCATTTATTTATTCATTTTCACGTTTATAGTCTCCGGGGCTAAAGCAAGTTTAGGAGGGAGAAGAAAATGGTGGAAAAATACAGATTTTCCCATAGGAGTTTAACCATTAAATGGTCTATATTCCTCTTCTTAAATTTCATAAGCTTAATTTTTAAAAGAACGCCATGCTATTTGGCCAAGTGGTTTTCAGGTACACAAAGTGTGCCAATTCTAATCTCTGTCCAGGAGACATCAGCAAAAGCGGTGGAGTAAGGACCTCAGAACATTCTCTCTTCCACAGAAGTAACAAGAAACTGGCGAAATAGTAAGAATCAAATTTTTCAGAACTCTGGAAATTACCCAAAGGCTTGCAACAATCTGGGGGTGTTTATTTTTTAAAAAGAAGAAGGAGAAGAAGGGGAAAGACAGAAAGAAAGAGAAACAGCTCAATCTCAGTAAAAGAGGTGAGCTTTGTGGCGTTTTTACCTTGCCCTAGTCCCATCTCAGATTCTCCTGCTTTGTAATATTCTTGAAAACAAATACCTGCATTCATGGTGAAGACCAGCAGCCTGACAGCCACTGGAAGGAACAGAAAGGGGCTGGAGCTCCTTCAAATCTTCATCCCCAGAGAATTATTACATGATCTGTCTTTCGGTTCCCTGGAAAAATCCCACTTGCAAGACCGTCTATTTGACTTAACTCAGAGCTCAATCAGCGTGAAAAGATTTTTCCCCGTGAGTATTCATCAAAAACAGTTACAGGCGGTTACTTAACTTTGCAGCTGCCTGAGGTGATGGATACCAGTCGGGGGAAAGCATTAGATCAAATGAAAAATTAAAAAGAAAAACGGAATGAGACATGCAGAGGGGCTTTGGGAAACTTCTGAATCAAGAAGGCCCATGCATGTGTAGGGTTGTCCTCGTGCCTAGGGCTCTGTGTATTGCCAAGAAAGACTTGCAGAGGCCCTAAGCTCTCACCTCTGGATGACCTTGAGGCTCTGTGCGAGGAAAGTGGAGGTTAAGGCAGAAATGAAAACGCACTCCCAACATGCACACAGAGCCTCTCACCAAAAATTGAGCTACTTATTGTTTCTGGCATTTAAGGAAATTTCCAAGTCCTACATTATACTTTCTGAACTTTGCACGGTGGTAACCATAAAGGGAAGGTCACATGGGCCATCGGACAGCCAGTAACTTTGATGTCACTAGATTTCTGCTCCCATTTCAGTTCAGGCGACTAAAAATTTTCCTTACTTTCTTGCCAGCTCAGCCATACATTTAAAGAGATGGGCTATTACTTTGCACTTGCATCTTTGGGAAGGATCTGCCTTCACTGTCATTTCACATCTGACTGTAGCAAGGCGGGAAAAGTTATTATGCAGTTTGCCTTACTGAGCCATCTCACTTGTCTTTTTCTACTGTCCAGCCTCGAGCCAGGCTTGAACCAGCTGCCATTTACTCCTCTTGTCCTTGAGGGGCCCCAGGAAGTCAGACAGTCCCCTCTCCCTCAGGATCTGACTCTACCCACTTCTCTTGTCACACATCTCTCCAACTTCCATATTCTTTGCTCCACAAAAATTTATTTTTATCTTTATAAATAGTCCTTTACTATTAATCACTAGAAGGAAATAGGAGATAACAGAAACCATGAACAGTATGAGAAATTTACAGGCATTGCATAACTTTACAGAAGGTCTTACAATCATGGTCTTGATGTCCTGCTAAGATGCTTTTTGTCTTCCAATTTTATTCTCTGAAAGAGTTTTCCATATTCAGGTGAAGACCACAGGGACCCTGTTTTCAAAAATGACCCTTCCTCCTAAACCAAAGAAGTAAGGGCTTGTGGATAATATCAAGACAGAACAATAGATGTCCCTCTGCTCTCCAGAGGGTAATTGGCACCTCTGAGAATCACCAGATTGTGTGATACCCAAATCAGTCCTCTTCTGTCCTGATTAGGACTATTATGGCATTATTTCATAATTCTCTATTATTATATGATCAAAACATCTGAATATAAACTAGATTCTGATTGTGGATCCACTTTTAATAAAGGAAAAAACTTCATACAATTATGAAAAGAAACATGAGTAAGAATTGTGGATCCACTTTTAACCACCTGGTTAACTCAAGGCTTTATCCCCTTCTGAAACTCTGGAGTTGATGTATGTTAGATCTCCTTACTCTTTACTCCTCATTTTTTGGCTTTTCCTTCATATCTTCCATCTCATTGTCTCTCTGTGCCACATTTTGGATAACTTGTTCAGATATGCCTTCTTGTTTACCTTCTCCCTTCAATTGGGTTTAAGCTACAATTTATTAAATTAAATTTCACGATTAACTTTATAATTTCTAGAAGTTCTATTGATTCCTTATAAAACTTTCCTTGCCCAAAGTAGGTATTCTATCTAAAATTCTAATGGTTATTGGAGTTTCTGTCTTTAGTATTCAGGCCTTTTAAAGTGTTCTGCTAAGTTTCTATTTTCTCATGTATAAAATGAAGGCACTAAAGTAAATGATCTCTAATATTCCATCTCACTTTAAAGACTACGATTCTATGATCTTTAGCCACCTTGATTCCATCTTCCTTCAAAGAGATTACTGATTTGTAAAGGAAGAACTCCCATTCCCCAAGCAATAATGGCAAGCTGAAAAAGAGTGAAAGTAATAGAAATGACAACCAGATCTTTGAGGGTGAATGTGGGACATAAGAAAATTGTTTCTCTTCACTGTCCATCACATATGAAAGAACTATTATGATGTTTTCTCTCTACCCTCCATATCGCCCCATCCCTCTAAAAACCTAGCAGAGGCAGCACTGCATACATACACTGATTGATAGAAGACCACGGCTAAGCCACAGAACCAGAACTGTACATCCTGACCCGTGGTAGGGAGAGTCATCAAACTGCATCAAGTATAACAGAGTAGCCAAAGCATAGTTTAAGGGTTGGCAGAACTTTAGATGTCAAGTCCAGTCACATCTGATGCCTGAAAATCCTTCAATTTATGGTTGTCTCATTAAACATCTCCAAGTATGAGAAATGTACCGTCATCTGACAGAGCTTTGTACTGGACTGAAGGCTCCATGGCTTCAGCTTATTGTCATTCACTACTGTTTCACCAGCTCCTAGAACACATAGCAGATGCTCAGTAAATATGTATTAACTGAATAAATACCAACTTTTAACAACTGTAATCTTTAGACAGTTTTGCCTCATGTTGAGCTAGAATGTCTCTTTTCCCTCATATTATTTGCTTTACTCTCTGGCTAAATAAAACAGTTCCCTCCGCATGCAGGTCCTTAACGCAGCTGAAAAAAGTTACCCTGTTCTTTCTTTTCCAGGGTAAATAGCTTCCACCAGTTCATTCAACGTTCCTCCCATGATGTCATTTTAAGCTTTCTCCCCATCCTGTTCGCTCTCTTCTGGACGTGCTCCAGTTCATCATTGTTCATCACAAGCTGTAACTCCCGGAAAAGAACTTAGTACCCCAAGGTGCACTGTGACCAGCTCAAACAGAGTTGGACCAACACTCCCCCAATTGTATTAAACAGCCAAGGGCAAATTCAGCCAAGGGCAAATTCACCCAAGGAGAAAGCTTTTATCTGGGCAGAAATTTAGCAAGTCTAAGTGTTAGAAGAGGTCACCAAAGGGCACCGATCTCAGTTCCTTTGATGAATGTTGCTCATCCCGTAGAAATGTAGGTGAAGGTGGTTGATTGGGACATCTGGGCGTGTCACATCAGCTCTCTTCTCGTGGATGGTGAAAAAGCACCAAATAAGCCATTAGTCCTTATTATGTACCTCTTTAATGTAGGCTTACCAAATCCATTTTAGGGAAATAATTCAGGGCCTGTAACTGCTGCCTAAGCACATTAGAGCTGGGAAAACCTGTCGGAGAAGATGATCCGCTTTGTGCTATAACTGGCATGAAGTTCAATGCAGGTGTTGCTTAACAAACGAATTCTGAAGTGAAAGGAGATGGGTAACTTCTAAAGAGTATTCTGGACACTGCCTTTCAGTCCCATTTCCCAGGTCAGTATGGTAGAATTAGATTTTTCTAGAAGTAACAGAATGGCCATTCGGAATATCTCTTTCCAGAACCTTCAAAACTTTGCTATCTTGAATGCAAGTAAAACTAAAGTGTTTTTGACTCAAGATGTCTATGGTTACTATTAATATGACTAACAATAGATGGTTTTAAAGTTGAGCTTAGACTTGCCAAGCATTTTTCTTTTAATAACTAGTCATGTGAGTTATTAAACATGCTTTCAGGGAATCAGACTTTAGGCTTGAAGTGGCTTGTCTGACTTTACCTTGTTAGAGAAAATCTGTGATGAACAGAAAAGATAGAGAAACCTGTTCTAGAAGGAGAATTTTTGAAAAGAAATTTTATTGTATCAAGTGGTTCGCTACTGAGTTCCTTCCAGGTTCCTTGTCAGGAAATAAACTAACTGCATTATGTTTTAATGACAGGGTATTGAATAACTTGCGTAGGTGCCAAGATATTTTCTGACTGCTTTCTTGGACTTGAGTACTTGGAGAAGTACTTGGCTTTTGAGTTATCCAAAACGCTGTCCCCGACTCATGATGATGCAACTTAGGATTTTTTGACTTGATAATGGTGCAAAAGCGATATATGTTCAGTAGAAATTGTACTTCGAACTTTGAATTTTGATCTTTTCCCAGACGAGTGATCTTTTCCCAGCAGCGGTCACAGCCCCAGCCACCCCATCACGAGTATAAAACACTGATACACTTAGAACCCTTTTGTGCCCAGGCAACCATCTGTTTTAAACTTTCAGTACAGTGGTCAATAAATTACATGAGCTATTCAAGACTTTATTATAAAATAGGCTTTGTCTTAGGTTATTTTCCCCAACTATAGGCTAATGTAAGTGTTCTGAGTACATTTATGTTTGGCTAGGCTGAGCCATGACATTTGGTAGCTTAGGTGTAGTAAGTGCAGCTTCGACTTATGGTATTTCAACTTATGATGGGTTTATCGGGACATAACCCCATCATTAGTAGAAGAAGATCTGTACTGAGACCACAGGGACAGTGCAGATATATGCCCACATCCATCCTTTCTCATGAACCGCCATACTAATGACCTTTAGAAGGTCGCTTTTATTTTCCTCGAGTACCAGACCTGTTTCAGAGGCAAGGTGAGTGATATCAAATATGGGAGAAAGAAATTAAATACATTGAAATTATTTACTGAATATCAACTGTGTTCAGAACCAGTCTGCAAAATAATATAGCTGAGGTCTCAGAAGTGGTTCTTCCCTCACATTCCTACCACTGGTCAGAGAGTAAGTAAATGGAAAAGATGCCATAATATTAAATGAGCTAAGACTAAAGAAATGAGCTCTTAAAATATAGTCATATGTTTTATCATTTTATCATTTACCAGTATCTTTTCCTCCATCCTTCCCTCCTTCCCCCCCTCCTTTCCTCCTCCCTTCTTTCCTTCCTTCC